TTCAGGGAGAGAGGGAAAGAGGAGAGGAAGACTGAGAGACGCAGTGTCCTTCAGCGAGAGGGAGGAAGACAGAGACGCAGTGTCCTTCAGCGAGAGGGAGGAAGACAGAGACGCAGTGTCCTTCAGCGAGAGGGAGGAAGACAGAGACGCAGAGTGCTTCAGGGAGAGAGCTCGTGCCGAGACCCACCGATGAAGGAGATGGCGTTCCTGTTGAGCACCCCACTGGGCAGCAGGTGGAAGTCGTACTCCACGCCGTCCACGACCACGGTGTGCCCGGCGTTGTTGCCCCCCTGCGGCAGACACACACGCGCATGAGTGGGGCGCTCTCTCACCCCGGAGTTCCGCCTGACCACACGTGCAGGAAATACCTCCTTCCAAATCGACTTTATTTCTAACGATGCGGCTCGTTCAGACAGCTCTGTGGGTTGACCCTGCACGTATGGACTTTTAAATCAAAGGGTTTAAGACTTTATTTTCAATAAAAGTTTAAAACTCCCCCCAGCGGCGCCGTTGCCTGGGCGACCCGTGCCCCCTTTGGCTGTACCCCAGGGGACTCGAACCCGCAGCCTTCCGGAGCCACTAACTGCTACCGACACCGGCTCCGGCTCTGCGGGACGCTGTCAGGCTGAAGCCCCCGCATAAGATCCCTCCTGACCCCGTCCCGGCCCGCCGCACGACGCTACCTGACACCGGCACACGATGTCGGCGTCCATGGCCAGGAGATCGACCACCTTCCCCTTCCCCTCGTCGCCCCACTGCGCGCCGAGCACCACCGTCACTTGGTTCCGGGGCTCGGCGGGGACGCGGGCCCGCTTGGCGTCCGGCTCGCCGTTCAGGGAAGCCTGCTCCCGGCCATTTGTCACCACTCCGTCCGCCGCCATGCTGTCTGTGTTCTGCCGCCCCGCCCCCTGACCCGGAAGGAGAAGCGCAGAAATTCGCGGCAGGAACCGGAAACCGGCCGTCGGTGGTTTTTTTTTTAATCGCAGCAACATCCAACACATACAAGCGAATCACATACATAAAATGAAGGGGTCTGGGAGGTACCCTGTGTTTGAGCATTTTAAAATGGAAGTAGAGGGGTATTTGCAGACTATTTCGAAATGCAAAAATATGAAAGCGGTGCGGACATTATTTTTATTTAATTTGTTTAATCTTTTTTCATAACTTGAATTGTTGTAGTAGTATGTACCCCTGACGATATTTTTGTTTGGAATTGTTATATGTACTCTTGTTTGTATTGTAATGTTTGTTCTTTTGTTAAGCATAAATAAAAATTAAAAATATATAATTAAAATGAAAAAAAAAACACATACAAGCGCGCATAGCATCAATAATATCGTCAGGGATACATCCAGTAATACTGTACAAAATAGATTCAAGAAGGTAAACAAAAATAAGCTTGCATGTTCTTACATTTAGAAATAGTGTGGCGATATCCCCTTGCGTCTTTTTTCAGCTGTTCAAACGTGGATCTCTTGCCGGACCATTTCACTTGAGGTATCTTGCATCAATAAACTTGTATACAATTCACACAAGAGTGCATATAAAGTCGTCAGGGGTAAGTAAAGCTAATGCATTTTACAAAACAAAGACGAAATGAGGTCATTAAAGATCAGGTCCGCACAGCTGTCGTGTCCCTGCCCTCCGAAACAGCCTGGAGAGGCGCCCTGGTGTCTCAGGTGTCACACTGTTCTCTTCCCTGTCCACCTGTGACCCAGGCAGGTGCACCGCAAACCTCTGGCAGTTACACACCCCTGCCTCTGGGGGGCTCCCCAGTTGACACCCCAGGACCCCCGCAGCCCAGCGCGGTTCGGCTCTGCGGCAGGTGGCGCCAGACCGCTTGGTGTGTCTGCAGGCTGTCACTCAGCTGCTTTCTCTGGTCCAGTCTAACAGTCTCCTCCTGGACTTCGGGTCCTGCTGCTGCTTTAGAGACCTGCTGACCACTGACCCCCAGGACTGG